CTTGTTGAGTTATTATGATTACTTGACTTTTATGGATGGCTTTTACATGTCTAGGAAGAGTTTGATGGACTTTCACAAGGTTTGGTAGAATTTTATATGGGAAAAATGTGATAAATGTAAAAATAGACTAAGTGGTCGATTTTGAGACTAAGTGTTGAAACCGACCAAGTTGTTGATTTTTGACTAAGTGTTGGCTAGCTGATCAATTTCCCGATTTTGTGACGTAGTTACCGATTGAGGACACGCATGATAACCATTCTGTTTCTCTGTTTTCTATTTTTTTGTTCCTGGATATAGGTATATATGGAATAGAAATTCGTTTGGTAATGCAATTTCATTTTTCTATTTTTAGAATAAATTTCTATTCCAGAAATAGGTTTGGAACAAAAATCAAAAGTAAAAATTTTCAACTTTTCTATTTGTGGAACATAATTGAGAGATAAAAACTCTTCTCATCGCTTGCCCTCGTTACTAGCCGGCCACCCAACTACCACCTGCCATTGTCGCCGGCAGCTGCCTTCGACCACCGCCGCCTGCTATCGTCCTTCGCCACCGCCTGACGTCGGCCGCCTCCCACCATCAGTCGCCGCCATGCACCGCTGCCTCTTGCCGTCCTGCGTTGGCTGTCGTCCTCCGCCACCCAACGTCAGCCACCTCCCACCGTCAACTGCCTCCCATCGCTACTCGCCCGCCAGTTGCTCGGGAAGGAGAAATCTTGTGTCGTTATTAAACTCGTATTTTTGCTCAAAAACTCATTCATGAAATAAAAATAGAAAAATCTATTTCTGGTCAGAAATTGATTTCCGGAACATAATAGTTATTATTCGCGCCCTACTATTGAAAATATTAGGTATACCTATCTTGCTATGTAAATCATGTGTCACTCCACTCCTTATTCGCCACGTGTCCGAGTAGGGCTCACTTTTCAGACTTTTTTTCTATCTCCTTTGTTACTCTCTCTTCTCTCACTATTTTCTTCTTTTCTTTTTACCTTTTTGAGGCCATGAACAATGCTCGCAACCGTGGGCAAAAGCATTATCGTCCAGCCATGGACCAAGCTCGTGACCAGCCATGGATGAGCGGCTCATGAGTGACACCAACGCTCATCAATGGCCGGCGTTGGTATCGTTCGAGCAAACTATTAATCCCTTTGCTAAAAGATACCTTACCCGTATTCGTAAAGGACATAGCTATTTGGGGGGAGAAAGAACAGCATTGGTGCCAAAAGTTATGTACGGAGCTCACTTTGGTGTCAAAAGTTTCACTTGGATCACTTAAGTGCCAAAAGTTTACCCCGGCGATCACTTAAGTGCCAAATCGGAGAAAAAACGATTACTTAAGTGCCAACGGCGAGAAATTCCGACCAAATTTAATACGTGGCTTTTATATTTAAATTTTAATGACACGTGGCATTTCCATGTGTATAATTCAATTTTTAAAATTTTTTTTTCTGATTTTTTTCTTTCTTTTCTTTTTCTTCTACCATGGCCGGCCTCGCCGGGCGTCACCTTCCTCCGGGCGAGGGCCGGCGAGGCCGCCGTGGCCTCGGCGAGGGCCGGCCTCGTCGGGGCTCGCCCTGCCCAAGCGAGCCCCAGCGAGGGCTCGCCTTGCCAAATCCGGCAAGGACGGCCCTCGCCCGGAGGAAGGCGACGCCCGGCGAGGCCGGCCATGGCCGGTGGCCGGACGCCGGCCATCGGAAATAAGAAGAAAGAAAAGAAAGGAAAAAAGAAAGAAAAAGAAAAAAAAAGAAAAGAAATGCCACATCAGCCCCCGGCAAGCCACATCAGCTTGAGAAATTAATAAAAAAATACCACGTCGGATTTCCGGCGAAGTGGCACTTAAGTGATCGTTTTTTAAAATTTTTGGCACTGAAATGATCCAAATGAAACTTTTGACACCAAAGTGAGCTCCGTACACAACTTTGGCACCAATGCTGTTCTTCCCCCGCTATTTGGGTATCCACCTTTCTCATCCACCGTGGAGGACGGAGGGATTCTTTCGAAAGATCTCATGATCATTCCATTGTATGACACCAAAAAGTTCTAATTGAATGATCTCATGATCATTTGACCTCTCCCTCACCTAAGCCCGGCCTCTGCACTGACAACCAGATCTAATTGAATGACACCAACGATGGCCATGAATAAGCGTCAGCGTCGCTCATGAGCCACTCATCCCAAGCAAGTGCAACGTCTTCGAAAATGATAACAATATTAAAAAATAGCCGGACGCTATTTTTTTCCCTTTTTTTCCCTTTTTTTCTTTCGAAAGATCTCATGATCAATTCAATTCTAAATGTTTTGTATTTGTACAAATTCAGTCCATCCAGCCAATTTTGGCCGGCTGGCGTTGACGTGGATGCCGGACGATGCTGACGTGACAATTTTAAAATATTTTATGTTTATTTTTTTTGAATTTTTTTTATTTTTTTCCTTTTCTTCTTCCCCTGGCTGGTCCAACAACCGGCTAGGGGCTAGGACCGATGACACTAGTCGCCGCCCACTAGTGAGGCTCGCCCTTGCCGGCACTGGCGAGGTCGAGCAGGGGCCATGGCGAGGCCGCTCGGCCTCCCCTAAATCTAGGCGAGGTCGAGCGGCCTCGCCATGGCTGCTGCTCGGCTGATCTCACCCTCGACAGTGAGGTCGAGGCTTGCCAGTAGCCGGTGACATTGGTTGTCGGCCCTAGCCCCTAGCCGGTCGCCAATCGCTGGACCGGCCAAGGAAAGAAAAAAAGGGAAAAAAATAAAAATTCAAAAAATTCAAAAAATATTAAAAAATTGTCACTTCAGTGTCGTCCGGCATCCACGTCAGCTCCGGCCGACCAAAATTGGCCGGATGGACTGAACTGGCATAAATACAAAAGGTTTAGGACTAAATTAGTAAAAAAAAAAAAAGGTTTAGGACTGAATTGATATAATTACAATAGGTTTACGACTGTTTCGATAATTTTCCTTGGAAATACACTGGGCAAGCAACTCGTCTGACGTGGAAATTAAGCATAAATGGCTCTTGGAAACGACGTCGTCTCGAAAACACAAGATGGCATGATGCTTCCAGTCTTGCAAGAAAGAAAAGATCTTGGAGAGGGTTATGGAACTTCGGTCATTTCAGGGCGAGCATTCAGATCTTGACAATGTATCTCTTCGCAAGCTCCGCCAGGAAAAATGCCAATTCCATAGGATGCTCGTTCTTGAGCGAAGAATCTATGAAGCCTCACAAACTCTCCTTCACATTATGTCCATCGAGCACCCCTCTTGATGGCCGCGAACAGCAAACCCCTCTCCATTCTTGTCATCCTAAGCAGCTTCCCTTCCGGACAAGAGCTGCCTCTCATTTCAAAAGATATGCTGAATATCCCTGAGTCTGTCCCGGCCCTTGAGATTTTGATGATTTGGGAGAAAGAGAAGGAGTAGACTTAATCTTGCATTAGTTCTCCATCTCGATTCATTTTCTTCGAATCCGGCTTCCCCATAAACAACTCCGCTTAAAAGAGCCAATCATGCTGAATTTTAACATTGGATCTACATCAAATGAGTCGCTTGTCACGTATGTTTCCACATCAGCAATTTAATAAAAACATTGGACGGAAGCTTTGGGATTTTTGTGACACGAAAATTAGTTCGCGGTAAACACTTCACAGAAATACCAGTTTGTGATTTTTGGTGACATGTAAATTAGTTTTGGCAAATGTAATCGCAAATGCATCACAAATGTATCATTTTGGAATTTTTTTTTATAATAATGTCCCTTAGTTTTAATACTAATATTTCTTAATAATGCCCTATTTTTGGCAAAATAGGATTTTGGAGTGCGTCTACACAAATTAAAATGGTCAGATTTATTGCAGAAAAGCACTAATAAGCATTAATTAAAAGGCTAATACCACAAAAATCCCAAACTGATATATCCATACTGTATTCATCAAAACTAATTTTTGTACCATAAAACTCCCATATTAGTAGGGGTATGCAAAAGAACCGGGAACTGCCTGGAACCGGTGGTTTCTAAGGGAATCGGTCGGGTTCCCGGTTTCAATTTTTGGGAACCGGTGGGTACCGGTTCGGTTCTTGGTTCCAGGTGTGAAACCGCCCACCTGTCCATCCGAACCGGACCGATAATATAATAATAATATAATATAATATAATATATTTATTTAATTTTTATTTTTTTAAAAAGAAAAATCATAAATCCCTAAACTAAACCTAATTCACTCGACGCTCACAGCCTCACATTGAGCTGAGAAACATCTTCTTTCACTTTTGCCTTATGCTCACTCTTACTCTCTCACTTTTCTCGGTCGATGCTCATCTCACCGTCTCCGACTCTCCATCTCCGTTTCCATCTCTGTCTTTCCATCTCCGTCCTTGGCTAGTGGGGACCGGTTCCATGGATCCACTCGGGGACCCGTTCCATGGACCCACTTGGGAACCGGATCGGATTGGCGGTTTAGTTACCGAGTGGATCCATGGAACCAACGGGCGGTTCCCGGTTCTAATTTTTCGGAACTAGTCCTTAGTGGGTGGTTCCCGGTTCTAGGGTGGGAACCGCCCACCCGGATCATGCTCACTCCTACATATTAGTACATTCGTAATATATTTACCCAAAACTGGTACACACGTGCATCATGAAAAACTCCAAATTGGTAAATCCATGTCACATTTACCCCAAAATTATGGTATGAATGTATCAGTTTAGGGTAAATGCGGCATGAATGTACTGGTTTGGAGATTTTTACTGCACAAAATTTAATTTTGGGTATGAGTTTGAGATTTTTTTGTGATATTAGCCCTTAATTAGATATGGATTAGAAACCAAGCCAGTCATTATTATAACTTCCCTTAATTCTCACGCAAAGAAAATCCTCCCTTTTTTCCATTTTCTTCCACCCGCCCCCATACCTTTTCTTTTTCCATACACAGAAAGAAGAAGGGAAAAAAAAAAAGAGCAGGATAAGGCTTTATTTATTCATATATATAGATGTATATTTTCAAAAATAGAAAAAAACAGGCTAATTCCAAATTCGTGAGCCGAAACTCACTTGAAAGAACTCCAGAAATCAGCTCCGCAAAAGGGATTTCTTCCGATTCCTCCTCCGATTTCTAGGGCTCGATTCTCGCCGGAATTCCGAGCTCCTCTTCCCACGCATCGCCCCCCCCAAATTCCGAGATCAATCTCTACCTCCCTCTCGCCGCGCCGCCGGAACCGGCGCGATTTCTCGGCGGATTCCGGCCGATTCCCGAGGCGGCGGCGGCGGCGGCGCCGGAGGAAGCGAACGGGCAAGTCGGCGAAATTCCCCGGTAGGAGCATTGTTCGGGTCTTTTAGCGCCCCTCTTGATGAGCGGCGAGTTGGTGAATCTCGATGCGGGGATGCGGGATTGGATGCTGAGGGTGATTAGTTCTGAGACGGTGTGGTGGGGGTGACGTCGGTGACTTCGAGTGTGGGTTTGGTTTGTTCAGTTCGCGGGTCGTTTTGTCTTCGCGCTAGTTTAGGGGCGTGGGGATGCGTGCCTTGCGAGCCGGTTTGCTGCAGTCGGTAGTGGAGGGATGAGGCTGAGTTTTGATTCGGGGAGGGGTGAACTTGTGGGGCGCGCGCGCGCGCGCGCTAAACTGATTCGGTGAGGGGGAAGGTGGGATTAGGTTTTGGGGTGCTTGTTTTCTTGGTCTGAAATGTCGTGCGGGCCGAAATGCGTGCGCGAGTCGCGCTTCTCGCGGTGTTTTGTGACACGAGTTGGCTCTTTTCTTTCTGAACTTACTGTCTTAGCAGCACAGAGTTGAGCGTTTCTTTTTGGGGCCTTGATTTTAACTTGAAAATTTGATCTTTCTACTTCACAGGATGTTATGCTCTGGCAGGACAAGTTGGTAGCTGATTATAGGAATTGAAAGTTCAAGAATTATCATTATGTATGGTCAGGGGAGCTATGGTCATCAGGCTGGTCAAGGTGCTAACGGGCAACATCATCTGCCCGCTGCCTTGCCTCCTCCGACTTCTTCCCAACCTCCGGCTGCATCGAATTCGGTAATGCATCGGCCTCCTGCTGCTGTCCCGTCTCAGATCAATCAGGTCTTACCGATGTACGATCATGTTCCTCGAGGACCACCTTTTCAGGGTCCTCCTAGTGGGATGACGAACACTACTAACCCGATTCATGCATCCCTTCCCCAGCCTCCTCCGGTACTTGGAAGAATGCCGGTGACTGGTCCGTATCTCAATTCTCAGCATAACCCACCATTACCTCCTCTCGTTCAAAGGCATGCTACATACTGGCACCCTATCACTTCACAGCCTCAGCAGCCTAGTTCTGTACAAGGTCCTCCAATCCCCAATCCAAATTCAGGCTTCGTTGCTTCGGCTCCTGCAGAAACTCACACAGCTCCCCCACCCCCACCGCCTCCCCCTCCCCAACCTCCACTTCCATCTGCTTCTTCATCACCTGTTCCACCTTCTCCACCATTCTGTAGACCTCTGCTGCCCGCATCTTCTATGGCCAATATTTCTTCTTCCAAATTGGCACTTGATGTTTCTGGACAGAGAAACGACAAAGTTGTCACCTCTGAAGTAAGGGGTGTGGAGTCATTAGGTAAACGGTACGGATCCTTTTCTGCATTGGATAGAAGTACGGCTTTGGAGATAGACATCCATCCAGCTCCACCAAAACCAGCTGACGAGAAAATCATGAAAAGGATCGAAACTTTATGCCAGTTTATTGCTAAGAATGGCCCTGGTTTTGAAGATATGGCTCGAATCAGGGAGTCTGCAAATCCTGAGTTCAAATTTCTTTTTGGTGGTGAGCCTGGAAGTGATGCCGCGGTTGCACATGAATATTATCAATGGGCAAAGAAAAAATACACTTTTGGAGATAAGTTGTGCGAAGATGCCTCAAACTTAAGGCCTTCAGAGGCTGATATTTCCGTGCAATCCAAACCATTCATCATGACTTCTGTAGCGCATCCGAATTCTGATTCTGACATGGAGATGGAAGGTTGGTGCAAGTTTCATGGTGACATTTTCTTTCAATTCATGTCTTTTCTTTTGAGAGACTGCTCGAAGTGTGTGGATATGTTCTATTGTCAACCCATGCAATCTTTTCCTTTATGTGTTTGTACGGTAGTTGTCGAGCCATTCATCTAATTCGAATTTGCTCTACTTAATATATATGTCTGCTGTCTTTGTGTTTCTTTTTTTTTCCCCTGCTTTGCAATATATTGGATTGCTAAGGTTGGTCAATTATGAAAGTATTTGGTTCTTTTCTTGTTTCAAGATGATATTACCCAGGTTGACATGGATCAGGAGATGAAAAGACCGGTTGAATATTATCGTGAGGACTCTGATTTGGTTCGTGATGATCCTGACGGGAAAGAGCTGGCAATGCCACAAATTGTTCAGTGTGCATCAGCTCAGGATATTTTGTGCGATAAAGTTCCTTCTTCAGAGGTTCTAGGTCGTGGCAATTATGGACATCAAGGTAGCCTTGAATATTTATCATTTTCTATCTGTATTATCAGCATATTTTGGGTCTTCGATGAATGACTGGACTACAATTGCCTGAACTAGAATTCATGTGGTGGTACTGGAAATTATACTATACCGTATTTATTTATTAGACTTTAGCTTTAGATGATGTTCTCTCTGTTATAGGTCCAAAATGAAACCCAAAAGTCCCATCTAAACCCTGGTATTTCCTAGTCAAGTCTGATTACTTGTGTAATGCTCTGGGGCCGTGTGGTTGTTAAGTTCCTAGGCAATTTCAATGTCCATTTTGATTCGAAGTCAAGGCCTGGTGGATAGGGCTCCAACCCAATAGTTATTGTCGTACAGGGATTTTGGTATTCTTCTCTAATGTGTTGTGCTTCTTTCTTGGGCCACATTCCTAAATCGGAATCCTTTTTGGCATGCAAGACAATGCAAACATAGTCCATGAGATATTGACTCCGTCTATGTCTATTCCTTTGCTCCCCTTTTTTTTCATTCTTTGTTGTGCCTCATTTTCAAATGTTGGTAATACGTAAAGCTTTCAATTTTGAACTAAGTTTTCCTTCACAACAATCTTGTTCACTTGCGTGTGTGTATCTATTTACTTTTTTATTAGTTTTGTTGAATTGTCATTTTCTTAAGCATATATTTCGAGTTGGGAGATTTTCAATAGCTTTGTGTTTGTCGGTGCCTCTTGTGTTACTGTACTGGTTACCAGTTTCTAGTTTAGTATATATGATAGTGATGTGGACTGACCTCATCATAATTTGATGTCTCATCGGACTTGGTGTCAACGAGTCTTCGTTGCCAATTAAGCTTTTTACAACAAACTAAGCCTTATATCATGTAGCAGGGTTGGCTTTATTAATCTTTTTTGTGACATTACATTGGGTTTGTATGAAGTCCTCTATAAGCTTTATATGCTCCATATTACTTATCATTCTAATGTGAGTGTCCATCACTTGATCACATCTCATCACGTTGTGACTTCTTTTTCTTTTATAATCCTAAAGCAAACTGATGTTGTTCATGCGGTAAGTGCAGGATCTGGTATTTGTCCTAATCACGAGCGGTTGCTACCTGAAAGTCCATCAAATAGGATCTGCTCAGACTCTAATCTGCTGGAACCTGCTGGAGCTGGCATTGCCAAAAAATTGACCGCGGTCCCAGCTGATGTTTCAAGCCCTCCAATTTCTGCATTAGCTGTCAAAAGTGGTAGGCCATTCAGATTAGTGCAAGACTATGCTTCCGATGACAGCTCGGAGAACTCTGCTGTGCCGCATTCCAAAGAAGAGCATACAATGGTTGAACTGTCAGTTGCACCTGGTTATTTGACCAAGTCTGATTATACTGAATGTAGATCTGAGTCAGATTTACGAGCTGCAAACCTCGGCAAGATTGAACAGGTCATTGGACCACTATCAGAATCTGGGAAATCATTTGTGGCTCCAACTCGTGTTTCCCATGTGGAGACTAGGATCATGGAAACTGTTGCAACCTCATCTGAAATTGGGCTGAGTGATAAGCCTTCTGATATGAACTACAATGACCAAGGAACAATTCACAATGCTGCATCTTCAGAAGCTTTCGCTAGAAATAACAGCTCAAGAAGTCTAAGCACTGGGTCACATGAGAATCGTAAGTCTGAGAAGGAAACCGGAGGAGAGAAACTAAGGTCCAATTCAACTGCAGTACAAGTGGATGAATTTGGGAGGCTGGTGAAAAAAGGAGCTAGTGACAGTGATTCCAACGATTCATTCTATGCTGGGAGGCGTCATAAGAAAAGAGAGAGAAGTCGGAGCAGGAGCCAGTCTCCTGTTGGTAGAAGGAGTAGAAGGAGGAGGAGTTTGCAGAGGACCAGAGACAGACGAAACCGATCTCGCAGGTATCTGCCAATATTCATATAAATATATGTAGAGAATGTAGGAGTAGTAGTGTACTATTATATACATGAGTTCATCTTTCTCCTGTCGCTTGGTATGTTTGTTGCTTCAAACTGGTGATTTGTATATATCTATTTGGAGTTATCTCAATCTGAATGCTTTGGTCAAGTCTCTGAAGCTCTTACAGTTTTTAGTAACACAAGATCAGCAAAATATTAAGAAAATAAAAAGGAAATTTCTAAGTGCACCAATTTTTTTGTTCCAGCTGGTCTCCCAGAGGGCGAAGAAGCAGGAGCAGGTCTCCTGTTTTGAGGCATGTGAAAGAATTTGGCAATGATGGTATGAGACGGAATAAAAGCCGGAAGCCCGAGTGTTTTGACTTCCTTCGAGGTAGGTGCTACCGTGGTGCTTCTTGCCGCTATTGGCACAATGAAGCAGAGATGGAGCGATCAAAACGCCAAAGGAGGAGAGCACAGACTCCTGAAATGCCTTTACGCTCCAAAAAACCTGATTCAGTTGAAGAAATGGAGAATCTGTCTGCCAGAGTTCCATATAGCGGGGATGGTGAAGTTAAGAACAAACCTTGGCAAATTCACAAGAACGTGCCCGATGGAATCTCTGATGCTGTTAAACATGAGAAAGGAGATGATTCTCTGGGACATGCCTCGCGAGCTTATGTTTCTGGTAGGGATGGTTTAGCTGGTGAAGATGAACCCAAGAACGATAAGGAGGTTGACATGCATCTGTCATATAGACAATTAGTTCCAGAAGATGATTCTTCTGCTAGAATACCATGTCCTAAGAAATTTGAGGAAGGAATTGGTACTCACCAGCCAATCTCGGTTGATAGGTTTATAGACAAACCTCTGGCGGGTGCTGAATCGCTGAAGTCTTTCACTGATAATGCTTTCAAATCTGCTAGAAGGAATCTATCAGCGTTGTCTTCTCAGTCCAGTCCTTCCAGGGATGGGCCTCAAAATGCTAATAACCTGCCTCAGCTTGATAATTCTTCTCAGCCATTGCCTGACAAAAAAACTGTGATGATCTCTGCAAGTGAATCTCTTCCAGGTATAAGGATATAATGTCTGGTCGACTCATGCATATTCATCAGTTGTTGCAGTAAGTGTTTTAGTTATTGTCTCAGTATCTGGCTTTTAAGTTATTTTTTTCTTGTGCTATATTGCAGATATTCCACACCATCCTCCTCAACTGCCTCAACATCTTTCCCCATACATGCAAGGTGCAGTCACTGGAAATTTGCAGCAGGTGTCTGGTGATCATGTTGTGCAACAGTCTCCTTACGCATCTCAAGGTCTTCCTTCATCAGGCAATCAACAGCATCTTGTTTCTGCAGCACAGAATCCCAACTGGAGCTCCGTGCTGCCGCCTCAGCCATTTCCACATGTACAATATGATTCGGCAGTGAAGGGAGGAGCGGTCGCCCCTGCCCTTTATACGGAAATTCAGCAGAGTCATGTGTCACATACTAACTTCAGTTCTCAGATGTTGAAACCTTACCCAACTGGGAGCTACTCTGCAGAACCGGTTCCTGGTCAATCTCTTAAGCCGAGAGAAGATTATAGATCAAGTACCTACCCTGCTGGCGATAGACCCGGTCCGCAGGTTGCAGGTCCTGGTTCCGCAGGGCTAGCCCATCTTAATGAACCGCAACGTTACCCAAGTGGCAGCCTGCCACCACCTGAAGTCCTGAAGTTCTCTTCGCAAGTTCATCCTTATATGCAGCAGCAAAACCCATCCCCTGCTTTGCAACACGGTGGATCTGCCTTTGCATCTCCAGGAGGGCCGAGCTCATCTACATTTTTGCCTGATGTTTTGGGCAGGAAGCAGACTTCTGCTCTAGATTATGGAGGACTGAGAAGTTCTTCTCACAACCCTTATGCATCTACTTTTGAGCAGCCACTGATCTCCAAATTTGGTTCTGGTGCTTTTGGGCAAGACTACCACAGTAGATATAACACAGCTTTCCCTTTCAGTCATGCATCGGTTGATGGAATAGGCATCGGCAGTGTTGGATCAAGACAAACAACTTCCTCACCAAAATCTACCACGTTGATGGACCGGGCTTTACCACGTGTGGGAGGTGATCAATATGATCCACTTTTTGACAGTATTGAACCCTCTTCAAGTTCAGTCAAGAAAGTTGATCGTGCACATAAAGGGGAATCAGTTGATGATAGCGATGTCATCCTGAGGACCAGCGATTCGAATACGCCATTAGATGTGGAAGAGAACAATAAAAGGAAAGAGATTGGAGCCTTTACTTTATCCACATCTGTAGATGATGATGGGTTTGGTGAGACTGCAGAAGTGGAAGTTGGTGCAGTTGAGAATGCGAGCATCAGTAATCCTATTGATGCAGCAGATGCCACTGAGGTTGAGATGGAGATTGATCAGATTAAAACCCCTGGGAAGAGCAAGAAGCGCAAGGATTCTAGGTCAATGAAGCTTTTCAAAATTTCCCTTGCAGAATTTGTGAAGGAAGTCCTACGGCCATCGTGGCGGCAAGGAAATATGAGCAAAGAGGCATTTAAGACTATTGTGAAGAAAACTGTTGACAAAGTAACTGGAGCTATGAAGAGCCACCACATACCGAAATCTCAAGCAAAGATAAATCACTACATCGATTCTTCACAACGCAAACTTACAAAACTTGTGATGGTAAGTCCTGGTACAAGTATTCACTTCTAACTAGATTTACCATAATTCCAGTGAGGAGAAGTTACATTAAGCATTCTTTTCCTTTCCGCACTCTAACAGCCTGATGGAAGCAATTTGCAGATATCCTGCGAATGCACCTCATGATTATATTTGGGCATGGTTATCTAATGCCACCCTGTTGGTGCTTTTGCAGGGATATGTCGATAAGTATGTCAATGTGTAGATATGAAACTGATGGATTTCAAGGCCATATGTATCATCCCAGAGGTTGGGCTGAGCTCTGTACGATTCAGATGTTGAAATGATATTGAGCAGATAATTCAACCCACCAACTGTTTGCTTTAGTCTATGGATGGGAGTGAAAATTGATTGAGGTTAGGGAAAGAAAGCATCCCGTTACTGCAAGGACAGCATTGAGGTTAAATGTAGATCGAGGAAATCCAAATTACTAGTGTCTTTGACATCAGTACGTTCTCACCGTGCATTTCGAAACAAAATTTGCTTAACCAGTTTTTCACGTTGCAGCTCCAGTGTCACTACTCCCATGCTTTCATTTTCCCCGTGTTTATATTAAATGGTATCTCATTCCATTTCTGCCATTAATATAAACATATGGATGAGATTTTCCTCTCATTTCGTAAATGCACACTTTATGGGTTATGACTTCATCGACAAAACTGAACTCGATCCTTTTCTCAGCCTTTCAGGTATTTGACTGAGTAACTTTGGAGGGCGAGGAAGCTGTGTGATTCATGTACTCTTGTCGTAGGACCGAGAAGAGGGTGTCTCGATTAGCAGTCTCGGAGAAGTTGTTCGTAGAGACTACAGAGCCCGATTACATTTTATCCTATTCGGCTCGACGTTTTTGTGGATTGATGTAGAAAGCTTCACTTGATCCTGAAAGTAGTACAACCTCCTCTGGAAGTTTTTGCTCCCCCAAAGTCGATTCGTCTTTGTGAAGGTGTGTTGTCAAGGTTATTGTGATGAGAGACTGACGGTCTTGTTCCTCGTTGTGAGCACATATGTTCAATATAATATCGCCTGATAACGCATGTTTCTTTTGTTAAGATGTGTCCTATTAGAATCATATGGTAAGATGGACAAAAATCTTAATTTGAATTAGTTAATGTAATTGTGAAAATATCTCCCGTAAACATCTTAATTTTCCAAAACCGTAGGTAGGTCTCATTCATCTCAAACTTAGACCTCTTTTTACGCGAATTTGCATTTGAAGATTTATATATGGAAGTAGTATTTATGTGAGATTCAATGTAAATCTAGCTTTTCGATTAAATACGATATTTGAAGGTATAATTTACTATAATATGGCAGTTTCGCGACTTGATGGTGGGTCTGGCTGCTCGCTAGCTCGTCCGATTCGAGCTTGTGTTACAAAATCGAGAAGGCATATTTGGTTGCCCTTTGATAAGGGCATCTAATGATACACTTTGCGAACCGAATGTCGAATGTTTAACCAATTGACGGAGTTAATTATTTCGTTGAATATTGAATGTCTAACCAATCAACCGAGTTAATTATTTCGTTTAAAGATATGGATAGATGAAACTGAAAAAAAAAAGTAATAGTTTTTTTTTTTTTGAAAAAAAAAGAGTTAATACTACAAAAAAACTTTAAATTTGTACACTCATGATAAATTTACCTTTCATTAGTTTTTGTTTTAATTTGGATTAATATCACGAAAAATTCAAATTGATACACTCGTGACAAACGGAAGGCCAGCATTAAAATTTAACAGGTACTAATGAAAGTTAAATTTATTTCAGGTGTATCGGAAATAAATTTATCACAAATGCATAATTTTAAAATTCTTCGTGATATTAAAAAATAAGGAAAGCGATTAATAAGAATCTTCGAGTCAAATGGAAACACTCAACAGAAAAATCTCAAATCTTGAGAGAACTCCGCACTAAGCAGCGGATTTTCTTTTTAAACAAGAAGAGGCACCCTCTCATTTTTTCGGGTCGTGCGCTTCGGACGCGAGGTGAAGGACGCGATGAAGAGAAGAAGGTGAGGGGGCGGGCGTGCTCTCTTCTCTTCCCCTCGCCATTACCCTCTCTCTCTTGCATGCCCTTCTCTCCCATTTTCCGTCAATGCGTCGTGCGTTTCGTGTGGCGTGGGCATGTTCTTGCGCCCTTCGTTTGAGACCAAGAGGGCTGTGGGATTTCGGAGTTTTTTCCGGTTTTTTTTGGTCCCGCATGTTGTTTTCGTCCGGTTCTTTGTCTTGGGAAGGAAAGGGTGTCTTGAAAATGCTCGTGCATTGGTGGTTCCCTCGTCAAGGTTGGAATTTGCGAAGTGGGTTGTTGGCCTTTCGTGGTGATGCTGCGTTCTGGGTCGGACGAGGACCCTGCTCCTGTTGTTCTGCATGTAACGATACTTTTTGGGAGATAGATGCTTTGTGGAGTGGGTGAAGTGAGGGCATTTGCTGTCACAGTAGTGAAAGTAGCCAACTCCTTAGGCTAATAACCAGCCTAACTGTTCCTCGGGTTAATCGGAGTCGAGCGAACTCTTGGCGGCGATGGTTGTTTCGAGTCTTGGATATGACTGGTTCTTGGTAGCTGTGATATTGTTGAGTTGATTCGGTCGTTTCATAATGTGAATGATTCTTTCACCGTGTAAGTTAACCAAATCTCTGAGAAAGTGAAGAAATTGACTATAGTCCCTGTTGACTAAATATGTTGAGAACTTGTATGGCGGACTGGGAAAGTAGGAGATTCTCCATTTTTCCTTGTAATAAGGTTGATTGCCGTAATGTTCACGATTGTGATCTCCCCATTTTGCAGCTGGAATTTACAATTCACGTGTGCTGGAGACATGGTTGCTAATTTTGCACGAGTTGTTGCCCCTTGAGGTAATCAAAAGGAAAAGCTGGGTGTTTTGCGTGCTTCTCTCTTTGATTTTCATGTGAAGGTTCCTCAAACTGATGTATTAGTGCTTGTGGCTTTGTAGATGGATCATAGGTGGCTTTTGATACTTGTCTGCTGCTGAAGAAATATCTTCAATTGTTTGAGTAGGAAACAGAACGTCATTCATATATGAAAATATATTGGGGCAGTAAACCAGACGAAGAATTGGTATTAGTAAGAGAACTTTTATAGAAATTGTCTGAGTAGGATCCGGTTAATCCTTTTCAGTTAGTGATGAGGATAATTTTGTGTGTTGAAATGTCAAGCAGCTTCTACATTATTGCTTTACGGTGATATAAGTTCAGAATTCCCATTTAATTACGTTAGGAGAAGCAACATCTGATAGATTAAGTCTCATGCATATGAGAATGGATGCAAGAAGGGATAACTTGCATGCAGGAAATAGTTGCCTTATTGAAAAGATATTTGAATGGCCTTGTTATAGATTTAACATTGTTTCTTCGTCTAGTTTATTGCTCTAAGTCTTATCCATTGTTGTATTTTTTCCCCGATCAGAGAATTAGGGGTTTTAGTAGAACTGACTGATTGCATCTTATGGCGGCAGAGCCGTGCGGTGGTGGTAGATCAGTAGTGGACAAGAAGAGAAAGAGGAAGAGGAAGCCGAGGAATAGAAATGGTTTGGATCTTAGGATGGATAAAGAGAATAATTTTCCAGAGAAAAATTCATCAGTGAACGTGATTATTGCTTTACCTCCTCCATCTGATTCCAGCTCAGCCCTGGAGAATTCCAATGCTCAGCCATACAACGAATTAAATCCTTTACCTGCAAAGAGAAGGAAGAGGAATAGGAAGAAGAAAAGAAAGATCCAGGAAACAAGCACTACTCAAGGTGATATTGGTGCAGAAGTCCCATCAAATTCTGTTCTGCAAGCGAATGAGCCGGACGTTAAAGATAATATAACATGTTCCTCTGGCAATTCCCATCAAAGTTTGGATGATGAGAAGATTCGACCAACCGGTGAAACAAGCTGCCTTACCATGAAGCAAAAGAGAAAGATAGAGAAGAGAAAGTTGAGGAGCAGGAGGAAAAAAGAGGCAAGACTCTCTAGGAAGAGCAGTAAGCTCACTGAAGTCCCAAATAATGTTTCGCGAGTCGCTGAACTGGATGAAAATTTTCTGAAGGAATCTTCCTCAACCAGTGGCAAGCAAAGTGACATTAAGAAGAATTTCTGTTCATTAGAAAAAGAAGTTGTGCACGGAGAGGCTCATACTAAAGAGACTTCCTTTCATTCCGATGAAGCTCATATCTCTCATCTTTCAGATGGCAAACCAGAGCAAGTAGAGGAAAGGATACAAGCTGCATCAGCCCAGGCTTCCATGGGAATCTTCAATTTTTTTCTCAGCCTTTCAAGTATTGGACCGCGTACTCTGGACATGGAGGACATGGGAGGACGAGGAAGTTGAGGACTAATGGACTCGCCGTAGAGAAGTGTCGAAAACTTCCATTTCAGGCCTCAATTAGAAGTCTTGGAGAAGTTGTCCAGAGAGACCGCAGAGCCTGTACTCATTCATCCAGTTTGGCTTTATGTTTTTTGTAAATTCATGTGAAGCTTCAGTAGAACGACCTCCTCTGCAAGTTTTTTGTTCCCAAATCAACTCGTGAAGGTGTGTTATCAAGGTTGTGTCTTTGTCAAGCTTGTTTGATGAGAGACTGGCGGTCTTGCTCCTCATTGTGAGCATATATGTTCATAAAATAATATCACCTGATAATGCATGTTTCTTTTGTTAACACGTGTTCTATTACTATCATATAGCAAGATGGATAAAATCTTAATTTGAATTGTTAATGTAATTGTCAAATTATCCCATGAACATCTTTATTTTTCAAAATCTTATGTAGATCTTCTTCATCTCAAACTTAAAAGACAAGTCTTTTATCTTTCGAATGCATCAATGGTCGACACATATAACGCTCGTTCCGCACGTAATACGAGTCCCTGTCGACCGTCGTTAGCCTTGTTGAGCTGCAGGGTTTATATGCTTCCTCGCCATTGTAGTACCTCAGTCAACCTGATTCATCAACAAAACAATTTGAGTTCTTTTAAATTAGCCCTTTGACAAAATTTAAATTTTTTATTTTGCCCAATTCTTTTAAGAGTTAATACCACGAAAAATCTCAAATCGGTATGTATACCTGTGACAAATTTATCTCAAACTAATATTACCACCAAAAACCCCAAACCGGTACTCCGTGACAAATTTACCCTCCGTAAGTTTCCGTTAAATTTTACCGTCAAATTGCTGAGTTTGATGACATGTGACAATTGACGGATGTATCAGTTTGGAGTTTCGCAGGTGTATCGGATTTTGATTTTTCATGATATTAATCCAATTCAAACGAAAAGTAACGGAGGGTAAATTTATTACGAGTTTTTCGTAGCATTAACCCTTTAAACTATTCCTTGGACAGCATTCAAAATTTTTAATATGGCCCAAAAGAAATCCTAATGACTGAATGACGATTAAAAAGTTATTAAAAGTTGTGGGCCTCAGAAGCGAAGGAACCCAAGAAGTTAAACGGACAAACCCTACTCGACAAGCAGTCTCTGAAGACAAAGTCCCACGTTTTTATCCAAACTAAAACATCAAAGCCCGTTTAAAAGCTCAAGCTTTCTCTCTCTCTCTCTCTCTCTCTCTCTCCTGCTCTTCATCTTCTTCAGGTCTATCTCTCCATAGTCCAATCTAAAGGACCACCGAAACAGGAGCCATAGCAGTCGGGGGCTTCTGTTTCCTTTTGGGGCAAGCAAGATCCTTCACGTCGCACGAGGAGAAGCAAGATCCTTCACGTCCATGAGGTTCCTCTCTCTCTCTCTCTCTCTCTCTCTCTCTCTCTCTCTCTCTCTGTGTCTCTCTCTCTCTGTTTCTCTCTCTTGCTGTGCGAAGAATGGTGGGTGCTGCTCGACTTTGCTTCTGCATTTCGTTTTCCGTTTTGATGGGTTTCCGTCTTCTGGGTATTGCGTTCCGAGCGTTCTTTCATGATTACACCGCCTCTCTCTCACCCTCTCTCTGTCTCTCCGTCTCTTTCCGTCTCTCGCTCAATTGGGTTTGCTTCGAATCTTGGATTTGACTGTTTCTTTTTCTATTTTTTTTTGTGCGTAGCTGATATTGTTGAGTAGATTCAGTCGCTTCGTATTGTGAATGATTTTTTCATCATGTGGGTAAACCAAATCTCCGGGAAAGTGAAGAAATTCGACTGTTTCCTGTTCAATTCCAAGCCCATGTTGATTTGTTGTGTTTGAGAACTTGTATGGCGGACCTGAGGAGCTGGGAAAGTAGGAGATTCTACATTTTTCCTTGTAATAATGTTGATTGCCATAAGCTTCGTGATTGTGATCTCGCCATTTTGCTGCTGGAGTTTACTATTCCCGTGTGTAGGAGACAGAGACGTGGTTGCTAATTTAGCACGCATTGGTTGCCACTTGAGGAAATTGAAAAGAATTGCCAGTTTAGCTAAAGCTGGGTGTTTTACGTGCTTCTCTCTTTGATTTTCCTGTGAAGGTTCCTCAAACTGATGTGTTAGTGCTTGTGGCTTTGTAGATAGGTCATAGGTGGCTTTTAATACTTGTCCCCTGCTGAAGCAATATCTTCAATTGTTTGAGTAGGAAACAGAGTGTCAATCAAATCTGAAAATATTTTCGAGTCAGTAAATCCGACGAAGAACCGGTTTTAGTATGATAGTTTTCTTTTTTAGAAATTGTTTGAGTAGGATCAGGTTAATCTTTTTCAGTTACTGATGAGAATACTTTCTGTGTGTCAAAATGTCAATCAGCTTCAAGTTATCGTTTTACGGTGACCTGAGTTCTGAATTCCCAGTTCATCATGTTAGGATAAGCACATCTGATAGATTAAGTCTCATGCGTATGAGTATGGACGCAAGAAGGGATAACGTGGATGCAGGAAATAGTTGCTTAATTGAAAAGATATTTGAATGGCCTTGTTATAGATTTAACATCGTTTCTTGGTCTAGTTTACTCTTCTCGAATGCTGTATTCTTTCCCCAATCAGAGAATTAGGTGTTTTAGTAGAACTGACTGATTGCCTCTTACTGCATATGCTTGCTCGTATAATTATGATTTTTAGAAGGGAACGTAATTAAGGTGTATATATCAAGCTTACGTGTTGGTTTCATCCACATTCACGATGCAGCTTGGGAACGGTCAAAGGGGCATTAAGGATTGAAATAATTTAAATATCCATCTCTGGGAAAATTTTCTTGTTCAGCTTGAAAGAAGAGATCATTGCATGTGGACAAATCTCTATTATCATGTCATGAGGGACCAGACTGCAAAGTTAGGATGCTGGGCATTCGTGTTGGACTTATAGTTCAGCAATATGGATCAATTGTTTTCTGGTCGTTGTTTTCTTAAATAAGTTATGGAGACAGAGCTGTGTAGTGGTAGTAGCTCAGTGGTGGACAAGAAGAGAAAAAGGAAGAGGGAGAAGAGTGACAGAAATGTTTCAGATCTTGGGGTGGATAAAGAGAATTATTTTCCAGAGAAAAATTCGTCGGTGAACGTGATTATTTCTTTACCTTCCCCAGCTGATTCCAGCTCAGCCCAGGAGAATTCCAAGGCTCAGCCATGCAATGAATTAAATCCTTTACCTCCAAAGAAAAAGAAGAAGAATAAGAAGAAGAAAAGAAAGATCCAGGAAACAAGCACTACTCAAGGTGATATTGGTGCAGCAGTCCCATATTCTGTTCTGCAAGCTAATGAGCTGGACATTAAAGATAATATAACATGTTCCTCTAGCAATTCCCATCAAAGTTTGGAGCATGAGAAAATCCGACCAACTGGTGAAACAAACTGTGTTACCATGAAGCGAAAGAGAAAGAAGGAGAGGAGAAAGTTGATGAGGAGGAAAAAAAGAGAGGCAAAACTCTCTGGTAAGAGCGATACGCTCACTGAAATTCCAAATAATGTTTCACAAGTCGCTAAATTGGATGAAAATATTCTGAAGGAATTTCCCTCAATCAGTGGTAACGAAAGTGTCACTGAGAAGAATTTGTGTTCATTAGAAAAAGAAGATGTACATGGAGAAGCTCATACCCTTTTGAGTGATTTCAGCGATATGAGTACCTCTTCAAAGAAGAAAAGTGTCAAAAAACTCGAAACCGATCGGAGGAAAAAACCACCATCAAGGTTAAAAACAGGAACTGTGGATCTTTCTGAGGATCTCGTTCATAAAGAGACTTCTTTTCATTCTGATGAAGCTCATATCTTTCATCTTTCAGATAGTAAACCCGAACAAGTAGAAGAACGAATACAAGTTGCGTTAGCACAGGCTTCCATAGGAACTTTGAAAGCAGAAGCCTCTATTCATAATCCAGAGCAGAGGCTTGATCTTCCAGAAAAACCTGAGACTATCAAGCTGCATGGTGCAGAAGATGGTTATGCTGAAGTTGTTCTAGTTGAAAGTACGACTGTGACTGAGGCTACAGAAAACAAAAATGCCGAAAAGCTTTTCCAGGTTCAGACAGTGGAAGAGCATGTGTCTCATGTTGATAAAGGAATTGAAGCTGCATCCAATTGCAATGGAGAAGCTTCAGTTGATTTTGGGCTTGTTTCTTGTTGTGAGCACTCAAACGGGAATGATGTCAGGGTAAAGAGGCAGATCGATGAAGTAAATCCTTTGTCAGAATTGTTGGTGTCTGAACGTGATATTAAATTAGATATTGATATCAACAAAGGAAGCATGCCTTGGCAAATTCCAGACATATTGTCAGAGAGGACTAGTGGTGAACCTTCTAAAAAAAAGCTTCTTATACTTGATCTGAATGGACTCCTGGCAGATATAATTCCACATGTTGGCTACGGATGTAAACCGGACTTAATTGTGTCAAGAAAAGCAGGTAAAGAGTTGAGTATTGGTGAAAGGTTGTTGATTTTTCTTATATAATCTAAGAACATAGTTCTAACTCATTGTTCTTTATTCTTGCAGTATTCAAAAGGCCCTTTGTTGATGATTTTTTACAGTTTTGCTTTGAGAAATTTGCTGTTGGGGTTTGGTCTTCAAGGACAAAGTATGTTGTTCCGTCTATGACCTGTTCTTGTAATTCCTTTAGCACCATCATAAGACTCTTCTCTCTGGGTACGCGCGCACGTGCACGTGCGTGTGTGCATGGTTGTCAGGATTGTGATTCAGATTGTAGGATCACGATCATACAATCCTACTGCTCAAACCTCTGAACAATCTGGATCGTAAGAAAATTGTATTTAGCTGGGATCGTGATCCGGATCATAGGATTGGGTAGGATTGCCATCCCAACTACGATTCCACTGATCCAGCTTTAGAAGGCAATTCTGTCTTTTCAGGCAAGCAAGAATTTATATCCGAGTGTTCTATCACAAGGGAACCCTACCTTTGAGCTTCAATACACTTTTTAAGGTTAATATGCATCTAATTACAGTGATTTAAGTAAGAATTTCATATTTTAGGGGTCAATTCAATAAAGTTGTAGGATGTTATGATTTTCGATCTGATCATCAAAGATTGCAAAAGGATACTACTTGGGATCCTGATCCTGACAACCTAGTGTTCTGTGGGTGGTGTGTGTCACTTCACAATAAAGGTTGCCCAGCTTTAATAGTCACTGTGGATTATATGGTTTTAGTTGTTCTTTTTACAGGAGAAATGTGGATCCAGTTGTAGACTTTCTTATGGGCGACTCCAAAGGGAAATTGCTTTTCTGTTGGGTAAGCAGCTCTCACATGAAGCTTTTCTTCTCTATATTGGTGTCCATTTTGTCCCATTGTTCATCTTGCATGGATGTAGACTGACTGCAGACCATTAAGAAAGAATAAGAGCTACTTTTCAGTTCCTCATCTGTTTGGTGTAAGATTGATCTCTGAAGCTTAATGGGACTAAGAGCCTGAGTGTAGGATCTGCCTCTTTAATTTCGGCCGAGGAGTGTGGGAAAGTTTTTCTACGTTTGCTTCTATTATCCTGTGGCCTCCTGTTCTTCAGATGGAATGAATACCTAGTATTTATTTTCCAACTGATTATATTCTCTTGATCTTGTTGTCCTTTTATCCTGTGATTATATCTTTTGTCTAGTAAATTAGATGAATAAGTTTTCTCTTTCAACTTTGTGATTGCATTGCTCCTTCTTGAGAATTTATAGGTATATCCTTGGAAGCGAGCCACATTTCACCCTGCTTGTTTGAACTTTATGATATTTTAGTCTTTCGCATTAATAAGAATCCTTAACATCCCTGGTTAAGTTGGAAATTGACTTTGTACCCATGATATGTCCCCATTCCCTTTTTGTAGTTATCCTTAGATCCTTGGTTTAACTTGCATAATTACATTAAAATTTTGCTTACAATGCCTAATTAGTGAAAGCATATACTGAAACTCCTACGAGTAACCGTTTCTGTAGTAGGGTATAAAAACAAAACCGTTTCTGTAGTAGCTATTGGTTCCCAGTTAAAATGTAAATGTCTTAACCTTTGTGCATCTTAGTGATAATAACATCATATCATTTTTATTTTAGTTTATTGCAGTCATTTTTTATTAGATTCTAGTTTATTGCAGTTAAATCTTAATGGAAATTGATGTTACAGGATCAGTCTCACTGTACTATAACAAAGTTCACTACCATTGAGAACAGGGATAAACCCCTGGTTTTGAAGGAACTTAGGAAATTGTGGGATAAGCTTGAGCCAAATCTTCCATGGGAGAAGGGAGCGTATAATGAGTCAAACACTTTGTTGTTGGATGATTCTCCGTACAAAGCCCTTCGCAATCTGGTAAGTCAGATGAGTGGTCTCGTCTTTACAACTGATTTCATTCATATTTGAATAGTTTGACTAACATCGGTTTATCCCTGTTGGACCTATCCTCATCCAGGCAAACACTGGAATATTTCCCTACTCATACCACTATAGAGATGCCAAAGACAATTCTTTAGGTGAGAGACGTTAAAATATGCATGTATTTTCTCTGTTTTAGAAATTACAAATATCGAAGACTTTATTTCTTAAGGCACCTTCGCATAGATCACTTTTTTTATGTTTTATTTAAGATGCATGGAATAATCTCTTGAAGAAGCCATAGCAGGTAGCTGAATGAATGATGGTTCTTTTGGAAAAGGCTCTAATTTCTCTTCTGTTGTGCATTCTAAAAGGGTGCGATAGATAGCTGAATCGATAGCGGGTGCTTTCTTTTAGTTTTTTATGTATAATTCGACGGGAAAATACCAAATAAGTGCCTGAAGTGCTCTCATTTTCTTAAATAATGGTCTAAAGTGGATATTGTCTCAAATAAGGGCCTGAAGTGTTCTCATTCTCAAATAAGAACCTGAAGTGGACTTTGTCTCAAATACGGACCTGAAGTGGCCATATCAGTCTCAAAAAGGGACCTGACTTCGCTGGCCGATGGGCATTTTCGATATTTACTTTTTTTTGAATATTTTTTTTTTATTTTTTTCAATTTTTTTTCGTTTTTCTTTTCTTTTCTTTTCTTTTTTCTTTTTCCTCTTCCCTCCGCTGGCCATTGCCGGGTCTCGTCGATGGCCGACGGAGGTCGCCGGACTCAGGCAAGATGCCGACGAGGGTCGCCTCACCTAGGCTGGGCGGGCGAGAGCCGCCCTTGCCGGTGTCGTGCGAGGGTTGCCTCGCCCTCCCTTGGGCTGGGCAGGCGAGTGCGACCCTCGCCAGATTCGACGAGGGCCACCCTCGTCCTCGCCTAGGCTGGGCAGGCGAGGGCAACCCTCACCAGATCCGGCGAGGGCAACCCTCGCCCTCGCTAGCCCAGGCCGGGGTGAGGGCCGGCGAACCCGCCGGCCATCGCCGTCGCCGTCGCCCCACCGGTGATGGGGTGGCAGCCACAAGTACGAGGGCTGGCACTGCCGCTGGTATTTTTTTTAAAATTATTTTTTTAATCTAATTTAACTAAAATTTATGTTACAATTGTTTTTGGACAAAAATACCCTTGACCGGCCGGAAAATTTGGCCGGCTGGCGAGCCGGTGGGGTTAGGCCCTTATTTGAAACTGTTATAGCCACTTCAGATCCTTATTTGAGAAAATGAAGGCACTTTGGGCTCTTATTTGGAATTTTCCTTAATTTGACCGGGGATAACAGAGTGACATAAACTTGGTCAATGAGTTCATCATCCTGGACATTCTTATAGTTGGCACTTTATTTATTTTACTATGCTAGAAGTATTAGTATCACCTTGTGATCTGTTAACAGTTTTGTTTGTCAGCAGACATGCAAATCTACTGGTTGTTTGCCCCTAATTTTGTTATTACAGCTGTCCCTTAGTCTCCAGATTTCCCCAAGCTCATGGAATCTTATGATCATGGCTGAATAAGCTATGGACCAAACTTTTTCTGCCTATCGTAATACTTGCATATTTTTGCGGGTGAGCAGGTCACCTTGTGCATTATTTTGCTACCTCTCATCTGCTACTGTATCATTAAAGTTATTATGTCTTTCTCGGAAAAAAGATCATCCAGTGGCTGATAATGCTCTCTTTCTCCCAGTCGCAGTTTTTCATCAGTGCTCTAAATATTTTATTCGCAATTAATGCTTCATGCAGGACCTGGAGGTGACCTGCGGGTCTACTTAGAAAGCTTAGCTTCGGCTGACGATGTTCAGAAGTATGTAGAGCAGAATCCATTTGGTCAAAGGGCAATTACAAAGTCAAATCCGTCCTGGAATTATTATAAGAGGGTGTTAGCTGCAGACCCCCTTGAAGATGCTACTTCTATATCGAAGTGAGCACATTTCTCGTCCTTAACTTGAATGACAGCTTAATTTCTGACAACTTGAACATCTTTTTTGTTCGAGCTTGTTTAAGAATTAAACAAGCATGTGCGTGCTGCGTAGCAGCCCCTGGAAGTGTTAAGTTCACCTAGAATAGTCTTTACTCTCGTCACATTGACAATCTTTTGTTTTTTGGGGTGAGAAAAACTTCATGTTTTGACAGTCAAGTTTTAGATGGTGTCTATCTCTATACGTGATGAAAATTTTTGTAATACTTCAAGCCAGTCGCTTGTGCACAATAAAATGTAAGCTTCGTAATTCAGCCTAGCTCTGTACTGACAAAAGAGAAGACTATTTAATATACTGTGCCTTGATGCAATTGCATGGTCTGTTCCACGATTAGGTGGGAATGAAAGAAAAGCTTCTCTTGCATAGTCATTGTCGCCTTTTCTTCCTGCATCATCTTCTATTGTTAGGTCTGACTTTGGATTGCTCAGTCCTACATGGTATGTTAATGACCTGGAACTGTTGATCTGGGAGGATCATGTGACCTGTTTGGCTTTTGGCAAATACAATGTAATACCAACCTCGTCAGTGTCAACATCTTCTTGAAGAAGGTAGTTGGAGTTCATCTTTCTGCAATTCTGTGCCCAACCACCGCAACATGTAAGATTTCACATGCTCAGAGCACTCATGTGTGAAGTGTCATCTGAATCTGCCAGAGCGTTCAGCAACATCATCCACATGTATGATGATATCTGTCATTTCACATTACACATATAGTATAAGGGGAAGTACCAAACAAATGAACAGATATAGAAGATATTCCTCAAATAAGCTATTTGGGCAGGAGTTAAATAGGAGAAGTAAGCTATTTGTGTACATTTGTTGGGCCCACAGATGAGGCCCACCATCATAGCTAACTAATTGGACCCTTTGTTAAAGTGTTGGGCCCATGAAGGCAGGTGGAGAAACTCCCAGAAGTCCAAATAACATCTGGTTTATTTAGTTTTATTGTAAGTGTTCTGTTTCTCATGCATTTGTTTTTTCATGCCCAACCAACTCGTAAATGAAATGGTTGGTAGACTTTCCATCAACTTGGTCATGTGCAATCCGATGGGGGGAGCTTCTGATTCCAGTGATCTGGCAACTCAACTTCATGACTTGGAGTTGCCCTCAAGCTAGGTCATGACCTTTGTTAGGGCATACCCCCCTCTTGAAAAGGCAACAATTTCACATTACACAAGGAAGTGGACCCTTGGGCCATGAGAAAGTGCATCACATAAAGTAATGCTTCTATCAAAAGTATATCACATAAAGCAATTCCTCTATCAGAAGTTGGTATCATGAAACAATCGAATGTTGTTCCTCGGGATGATAACAATTGTGTTGAGAGTATTCAATTGACTTATTGATATCAAATCAGCATGTTACAAACGCAATATGAAAACTCTTTTTTGATCAAAAGGTCGATATGATTGGAATGTTACCAAATCCGCCTGTCTAGTCATAAGAATTAATTGCATAGTCTTAAGAGTAGACCAATCATTTTCGCCTAATGAATCAGTTGAAATGGGTACTAATGAAAGAGACAGCATTGGTCATAAGTGAGAGGCCCTCATGTTGGTCCCTAAAAGTTCAGCCAATGACTTGGTCGTTGATGCATATGCACACTTGCAGGCACATGATCAGTTGTCACCACTAATTGAGCTCATCTTAACTTCTTTAATTATTCTAAAGAACAACCAGAAAATCGGAGCAAAAAAAAAAAAAGACAAACACAAAAATGAAATAAAAAAAAAAGATGAGTAACACGAATTTAAATTGAGTAATAATTAGGAAATTTATGGGGGGAATATAAAGCATCACTCAGTACATTTGATCGCAAATTAATTGATGAATGACTTCTATAGAAACCAATTAGTTTAAGTTAATTCCAATCCTCTTAACTCGGGAGAAGTGTCAAAAAAGTCCTAAACCTTTTACATTGATTCCAATTTAGTCCTAAACCTTTTTTTGGTGCCAATTCAGTCCTAAACCTTTTGCATTTGTGCCAATTGAGTCCTAAACCTTTTTTTTGGTGCCAATTCAGTCCTAAACCTTTTGTATTTGTGCCAATTCAGTCCTAAACCTTTTGCATTGGTGCCAATTGAGTCCTAAACCTTTTTTTGGTGCCAATTGAGTCCTAAACCTTTTGCATTGGTGCCAATTCAGTCCTAAACCTTTTGTATTTGTGCCAATTCAGTCCTTCCGATTAATTTAGCTAAAAAAGATTTAGGACTGAATTGGCACCAATGCAAAAGGTTTAGGACTGAATTGGCACCAATGCAAAAGGTTTAAGACTCAATTGGCACCAAAAAAAGGTTTAGGACTCAATTGGCACTAATGCAAAAAGTTTAGGACTAAATTGGCATCAATACAAAAGGTTTAGGACTCAATTGGCACAAATGCAAAAGGTTTAGGACTGAATTGGCACCAAAAAAAGGTTTAGGACTAAATTGGAACCAATGTAAAAGGTTTAGGACTAAATTGGCACAAATGCAAAAGGTTTAGGACTTTTTTGACACTTTTCGCCTCTTAACTCTTACTAAGTGAATAACCTGGTCCTTGAATTGCTCTTTTCGCTCTCTTGTTTTACAATCAAGTCCTCTAACTGTTTAAACGACGCAATATACCGGCACAGACAAATGTGCTTAACGGTAACTTTATATTGCAAGACAATTGCACATCTTTTATATGATATTCACAAAAGCTTAGAACTCTTCTGTTCAGCTATTACTTTCCTTATGATTCGTGCTTTTTTTTTTTTTATCTATGTTCTTCCAATTCAGCCTATGTATCCAGCATCTCAATTTCACTCAAAGGCTATGAATTTGTGTACTTGAGGTTTTCACGTATGTCAATTCATTTATATTGCATATATCCGTACATATATATTCTTCTTCTTTTTGGCACTTGCGCACACATATATTCTTGAATTTAAATGAATTACTCTCTCATACACGCACGCACACACGCACGCGCACATGCGCAAAGAGAACTTGCAATAATTGATTGGATAGGTAATGTCCATGTAGGGTGTGATTCCATGCAAAATGTATAGATATTTGTTCTCCCTCCCAATGATGTGACCAATGGACACAATGATTTTAGTGGGGTTTGAGCTACCTTGGAAAGTAAGGCATCATTGTTCCAATCAAAGTAAGCCAAATTCTTTTTTTTTTATGTCTCCCAAAACCTTGGTCTTCGAGCAATATTGGGACAGGCTATAGTTATTATTGCCTCATCATCTTCAAGCATACCCTTTCTCTCTTCTCTCTTTTCTTCCTTTTTCACTTTATGTGCTTGTGTAGAGATCACACATGCATATGAATATATGTAATATACAATCAAAGACTTGACTTTAGAATTGAACTTGCATTCTGTTTTTTCTTTTTGGGGGTTTTTGATGGGGCAGGTAATTTTGTGAAGCCCAATCTAGATGGATCACATTCACAACTCTAACGAGTCAATTAGATTTTTCCATTTAATTTTTTCCCCTTTTTCGTAAGGTTGTGAATTGTCGGGTTTGAATGAAAATGAACCGGGCGCATGTGGGAGTTAAAGAATTTCTTCTTTCTCTCAAGCTGCAAAGGTTGACTGTATATAAAATTCGACCTGCATATGCTAGTCTAGGCCTTCCAGATCATATCAAATTAACATTATAGCTTATAAATGAATACATATATTATCAATAATTATTTGTACTCTATGTATGGAGAGAGAGAATCTTGACAATTGACAATAGAAGGTGAAGGGTAAAAGACAAGAGCAGCCACATGCCTTGGGAATCTCAACAAGCCTTTTTTGGGGGCGGCTAGAAAATATTAAAAAAAAATGGAAAATATCAACAGGCCATTTTTTTTTTGGGAAAAAACCACCAAAAACCTCAAACTTTGCCATCTGTGACACATTTACCCTGAACTTTTTTTTGTGACACCAAAAACCCCGAACTTTGCTTTTTGTGACACATTTACCCCAATGTATTTAGTCCATGGGCATTTTCGTCTTTTCTCGCTTTTTCTTTTTTTTTTTTTTTTTTTTTTCCTTCCGTGAGGGGGGCCTCGCCGGCGTCTGCCTCGCGGATCCGGCGAGGGGCCCTCGCCGGCATCGAGCGAGGGCGGCCCTCGCCCGATCCGGCGAGGCGGCCCTCGCCGGCGTCGGGCGAGGTTCGCCTCGCCCGGGCGAGCGAGGCGGCCTCGCCCGACTCGGGCGAGGTCGACCTCGCCGGCGTCGGGCGAGGGTCGACCTCGCTGAGTCGGGCGAGGGCCGCCCTCGCCGCCCGCGAGGGCGACCTCGCCGGCGTCGGGCGAGGTCCGCCCTCGCCCGGGCGAGCGAGGCGGCCCTCGCCCGACTCAGCGAGGTCGACCCTCGCCCGACACCGCGAGGGTCGACCTCGCCAGATCGGGCGAGGCCGCCTCGCTCGCCCAGCGAGGCGAACCAGCGAGGCCGCCTCGCCGTCTGGGCGAGGTCGACCTCGCCGGCGCCGAGCGAGGCGGCCCTCGCCAGATCCCTGGCGGGAGGCCCTCGCCCGACTCAGCGAGGTCGACCCTCGCCGACGCCGGCGAGGGTCGACCTCGCCGAGCCGGGCGAGGCGGCCCTCGCTCGCCCAGCGAGGGCGAACCTCGCCCGACGCCGGCGAGGGTCGCCCTCGCCCGGGCGAGCGAGGGCCGCCCTCGCCCGACTCAGCGAGGTCGACCTCGCCGCGCCGGCGAGAGCCGCCTCGCCGCCTGTGCGAGGCGAACCTCGCCCGACCTCGGCGCGAGGGCCGCCCTCGCCCGGGCGAGCGAGGGCGGCCTCGCCCGACGCCGGCGAGGGTCGCCGCCCGGGCGAGCGAGGCGGCCTCGCCCGACTCAGCGAGGTCGACCTCGCCGACGCCGGCAAGGGTCGACCTCGCCAGATCGGGCGAGGGCCGCCCTCGCTCGCCCGGGCGAGGCGAACCAGCGAGGGCCGCCCTCGCCCGTCGGCGAGGTCGACCCTCGCGGCGTCGAGCGAGGGCGGCCCTCGCAGATCCGGCGGGAGGCCCTCGCCGACTCAGCGAGGTCGACCTCGCCCGACGCCGGCGGGGTCGACCTCGCTGAGTCCGGGCGGCGGCCTCGCTCGCCCGAGCGAGGGCGAACCTCGCCCGACGCCGGCGAGGGTCGCCCTCGCCCGGGCGAGCGAGGGCCGCCTCGCCCGGACTCGAGCGAGGTCGACCTCGCCGGCTGCCGGCGAGGGCCGCCCTCGCTCGCCCAGCGGGGCGAACCTCGCCCGACTCCGGCGAGGGCCGCCCTCGCCGGATCCGGCGAGGGCCGCCCTAGCTCGACGCCGGCGAGGGCCCCCTCGCCGGATCCGGCGAGG